CGATGGTGATAGCAAAAAAGTACCTATTCAAACCCAGCACCAATCCAATTTGTCAATACGCATCTCCCCCTCGGTTAGTAGAACTTTATAATCTGCTCACATGAACTTGAACAACACAGTGGTGAAGCGATGTACACGGTCTTCGACCACGCGCTTTTTAGGCGAGAGCACGACGCGAGCAAGGGGCGCAAATGCTTTTCCAGCGACAAAACGCGCACCAATGAGCAGCACAGCGGAGGCGCCTGCGACCACCAAGTCCGTAAGCTGCGGCATGCCCGGCGTACCGTCGTGGAAGGCTTTGTTGTGGCTGCGAGTATGCGAGACGCCGTAGAGCTCCAGCCCCAGGATGGGCACGAGTGTCACCGTCATGGACACCAGCACGTACTCCTTGATGCTGAGCGAGACCTTCATCTCGGTCGACATAGCTCAGTCAGCGGCTTGCGAGGGGGGTGAAAGGGGCTGACGATCCACTCGAGGTGCGGCACGGCAAGTAGCGAATGGTGCCGCGTATGATGGCAGTGCTGACATCCCTAGTCCAATGTATCTACTCCCCGGCTATGTGCGTTTTTGGAAACAACATAAATGTAGCCATTTCGCCTAAGATCCTGCCCTAATGCATACCTCGATTTAAATAGAGGTATTCCTTACCGGTATTTTTAGTCATGGCTGAGCTAATTAAAGGCCGATGCTACAGTCCATGCGTCGACTCAGTTTATTTTCCATGTAATACTCCATGTAATGTCCATGTGTCGAAATAAATTACTTACCATTATTTTTAAAATCCATAGTGAATGGAAGTTGTTAGACCTTCGCAAACGAAAGTCCTCTGACATCTCTCGTACATACCGGTATACAGAAGTCAGGAGGTCAACCATACGCATGAACATTAGGCGGGTCGATTCCAGTTTCAATAGAAATGAGATTGTATTAGTTGCATTATGGCTTGCTACCGTGAAGCACGAAGTGAAGGATGCGGAAGCGTAACAGCGTTAGACCAATCGGAGTTACGTCCAGCGACACACTCTTGTCTACATATCGCCAAAACCTCAACATTACGTAGAATCCGCAGTTGTATCCGTCTGTCTGGATCGGTCCATTGACGGACACAACTTTGAAGTCGTCGCTGAGCGTAGTAGCCAGATCACACGACATGCGGTCCAGTACGTCCTTGTACGTCTTCAGGTTCATTGAGTCGTAGTACAGGACATTGTTCTGCTTGCCATCCACGATCATTGCACACCAATGCATGTTCCCAAAATTTACAGGAATGAGCAGTACATCCGCTTCAGTGAGTAGTTCCTGAACCTTTGTCTTCATTTTTTCACTCATAGATTTCTTCTTCTTTGACGCCGAGGCTGCCTCGACACCGACGATGCGAACGCCGCTGCCCGTCCTGTACAATCTCGCGCAAAAAGCCAAAATCAGCGCATCATTAGCCCATTGGGG